AATATAAGTCATTATGTCCCTATGTTACTTTACCCAAGTCGGGGTAGTCTTTTTTTGGGCCGGAGGAATCCCTATCAACATGACCTCGACCACCAACAAAACGCATACACCACAAAATATACTATAATCCTACATAATCACATTTTTTGGGTCCTCGAACTTCAAATTGAACGTACTTGGCACACCCTCTACTCTTGCATACCTCGCAATTATCGAAAATAGTTCTTGGATTGGTTTTAGTTGTTTTCAAGAATGTGCTCCTCACCCCTTTTTTGATAATACATGTGCCGCTTGGTAGACAGTTCAACCAGTTTTACTATCTATTTCCTGGGTTTCAATAAATATTAAATTAATTTATTATTATAATATAAATATTGTATTAAAATTATTTTAATAAACGCTAAATTTATTTAAAATTAATTACAATGTAAATATATTAAAATTAGTGTTAGAACAACCAATATATATAAATAAATAAATAAAAATATATTAAAATATAATTTTTAAAAAAAAAATTGGTATAAATCGGTATTTTGACATGTATTTTCCAGTAAAATCGATATTTTCCTGTATGAAACTAGTATAAAATAGTATTTTGGCCAAAATGGTATTAAGAGGGTAACCGTACCGGCCGAAATACCAGTATCAGGTAATACCAGCCAGTACGGTATTTTGAACATTGAGTGTATGTAAGTGTTAAGGCTATATATTATATTATACCTAAAACAAAATGAACCGATTATCGGTTTCGATTCGGGTTTGCTCACCCTATTTTCCAAAAATTATCATAATACAAAAAGGCATCCAAAAATAACGTTTATGAATTATTTCTCACAAACGTTTAACGTAAATATAATAATATGAATATTTAAATTAATTTGTTTAATTTAAATACTACTTAATTGCAACCACTAGGTCTAAACATTTAAATTTAAATATCAAATTTAAAAAACTAAAATAATATAATACAACTGGACCGATAAATATTCCACTATTCAACTTAGGTTCCAATACGAGAGGTTAGTCAATCTCTGTTATTACTGCGGCAAATTGGGACACCTTGATAGAGTATGCAACAAGAGAACTGTCGACATAGAAAAGGGATCCTTGAAAGGAAGACAATACGGAGATTGGTTGAAGGCCGGTGAAGGGGGAGGTCTTAACAGAGCAGGCTATGCTAGTAACTTCCACAAAACGGACACAGAATTCCTTGAGCCAGAATTTAATGAGCCACAAGGACCTCCAAGCAGAGTCAATGAAACAACAGAAACCAACAATGATGCAAGAGCAGAAGGTGTTAATGACACAAGGTTGAATATCAATGAGACAAATGCAGAACCAAGCAAAACCGACGAGGAAATTCCTACTTCTATCAAAAAAGCAGATAGTATTATGCATCTGATTCCCATTGAAGAGGATGATTTCCAGCTCCATGAGGATAACAACCTGCTGCACATGGGAGATCAAAACAAAGAAGACATCATCATGAATGAAGGGAATCTGGGAGGGGATAACACAAACCAGACTGATGCAGCCATATCTCAAAGCACAGGTAAAATTGGCTCAAGTGTAAGAGGATGGAAAAGAGCTAGAAATGCAGAAGGCAGGAATTCAAAGAGCATGGCAAGAACAGGGGGCATTGTCATTCAAGAACCAATGAAAAGGTATAGAGATCCAACAGTTGAGCAAGAAGAAGAGGAATCAGAACAAGGAAACTTAATCAGGAGTAAAAAGAAAGCCAAGATCACTGACGACAAGGTGGAGGAAGCCAGCCTAGAGTGGCCCCAACTCAATAGATGAAGGTGATCATGTGGAACTGTAGAGGTCTGGGTGGACCCTCTACAGTTTCACAACTTAAGGATTCTCTTAGAATCTACCACCCTAGCTTCATCTTTTTGTCTGAATCTAAAAAGAAAAAGGATTTTGTCAGAACTGTCTGTAATAATTTAGGTTTTTGTAATAGATGGGTGTCTGCTGACCCCATGGGCATTAGTGGAGGTCTTATTTTGTTATGGGATAAAAACCAAAAAATATTGCAAATAATTTCTCATTCCTTTTGTTTTGAGGTAGAAGTAGAGAATCCTAATGGCCAGGGCTCTTTTTGGTGTATTTTTGTTTATATGAACACTGACAAGGCTATAAGGAGAGAGCAATGGAATTTCCTGTTGCAAGCTAGAAAAACTTGGGGACAAGAGTGGATGATAGGAGGAGACTGGAACACCATTGTCGACAACAGTGAGAAAAATGGTGGAAGGGACAAGAGCCTTGAAGACATGACAGAATTCAAGGACTTTATTGCTCAAATGGAGATGGTGGAAGTCAGAATGCTGGGACATCAATTCACATGGTCTAACAACAGGACTCATGAACACTTCATCGAGGAAAGATTGGATCGGGTTTTTGGATCTTTTCAATGGACCAACAAATTCTCCAATGCAGCTGTGATTAACTGCTTTAAATCATCCTCGGATCACAGCCTATTGATACTAGTTAATGATACCACCATTTCTCACAAGAAGAAGCCAAGGTTCCAATTTGACAAGAGATGGGTGTCCAAACCAGAAGGGAAGGCAATAGTTCAGGAAGTTTGGAATCAAATTTGTTCTGGGACTCCAATGTTTAGATTCCAGGAAAAGATCAAAAATGCAAGAATTGCTCTACTAAATTGGAGTCAGGCCTTCAAGACAAACAATGCCAAAACAATTGAAAGGCTTACTCTGCAATTAGAGGACATGAGGCTCAACAGTCAAGGAAAAAACTGGGACAGCTGGGAAAGAATCAAGAGAGAGCTAGAAGAAGCTCAATGTGCAGAAGAGATTTTCTGGAAGCAAAAGTCAAGGAACCTGTGGCTTAAAGAAGGCGACCAAAACACAAAATTTTTTCATGCACTAACAATGCAAAGAAGGAAAAGCAATGCAATTACAAGACTGGTGACAGAAAGAGGCACAACCTGTGAAAGTAAGGAAGACATCGAAAATGAAGTGTGCAATTTCTACAAGAGTCTTTTTACTTCAGAGGGATCATCAGATAACAGAGGAGACTTTCAGCTGATTCCAAAAGTCATCACAGACTCTATTAATCAGAACTTGACTACATTTGTGGAAGAAAATGAAATTAAATCTGCCCTATTCAGCATGAATCCAGATAAAGCCCCTGGAATCACAGGTATGTCACCTCTCTTCTTTCAGCACTTCTGGCCAATCATCAAGCAAGATCTCTGTGAAGCTGTGGTCAGTTTTTTTGAATCAAATTCACTGCTAAGGAGTTGGAACCACACTATTCTTACCTTGATTCCAAAATGCATTAGTCCCTCCTCCTTGAGTGACTTCAGACCAATCAGCCTATGTGAAGTGGCATATAAGATAATTACCAAGATAATTGCCAACAGAATGAAGCCTTTTTTGCATCTGTGTGTTAGTGAGAATCAAGCTGCCTACATTCCAGGTAGGCAGCTACTTGATAATGTGATCATGGCTCATGAGGTAATCCACTATCTAAACAGGCACAGATCTGGTAATCATGGTTTCTTAGCTCTCAAGCTTGATATGATTAAAGCCTATGATAGGCTTGAGTGGAAAAGCCTGCAGACAATCCTGTTGGAATTTGGTTTTAGCTGGAAATTTGTTAGATGGATTATGGTATGTGTTTCCTCAGCTTCTTTTTCAGTTAATATCAATGGAGACACGGCTGGTTTTTTTGATTCCTCTAGAGGCATAAGGCAAGGGGACCCTCTATCCCCTTACCTTTTTATTCTGGTGTCTGAACTCTTTTCAAGGCTGATTAAAAGGGAAGTGGATGATGGAAATTTGAAAGGAATCAAACTAGCTAGGGGTGGTTTGCAGCTCTCTCATCTACTATTCGCCGATGATTCACTCCTGTTTTGTGGTGCTGACAATGACTCCATATCTGCTGTTTTGAGAATCCTTGATTCTTATAACAAATGCACTGGACAGAAAGTGAACTTCTTGAAATCTTCTATCTTTTTTAGCAAGAATGTGTCTGCTGCAGTTCAAGCTGATATTTGTCACCTTCTCCAAGGCATTCAAGCACATAGATCTTCGAAGTATTTGGGACTTCCTCTTGGTGTGGGAAGGTCTAAAAAACAGACATTTCAATATGTTTTAGAAGCTGTGAGAAAAAGGGTCACCAGTTGGAAAAACAATTTCTTGTCACTTGCAGGCAAAGAAGTGTTAATGAATTCTGTTCTTAATGCACTTCCTGTATACACTATGTCCTGTTTTGCATTACCAAAAAATGTTTGTCAGGAAATTACTCAAAGTTGTGCTAAGTTCTGGTGGAAAACTAACAATGACAGCAATTCTGGGATCCACTGGAAAAGGTGGCAACTTATTACTCTACCCAAGATTTATGGTGGGCTGGGATTTCATGATTTGCAGCTGTTCAACGATGCACTCATTCTTAAGCAGCTCTGGAGAGTAATTTCTCAACCTAACCTACTAATGAGTAAATTTCTGAAAAGCAAATACTTCTCAACTGGAAGTCTGATCAAAGCAAAGGTACATCAGAATGCTTCATGGCTATGGTCAACATGGATGGCTGTAAGAGATAGATACAAAGGCTGCTTCAGAATACAGGTGGGAGATGGATTAAGCACCAACATTTGGAATGATCCATGGCTGGACTTATCTTCTTCAGGCAGCCCTCAGAGACCAACAAGCAATCTCCAAGGCTTAAACTTGGTTAGAGAATTGATGGATGCTGAAGGCAGAAGATGGAATGTGGATTTGATAAAACAGATATTTAACTCTGAAGATAGTAACAGCATTCTGAGAACAAAAACCATTGACCCCAATAAAAAAGATAGATGGGTTTGGAAAGATGATGCTAAGGGTGTGTTCTCTGTTGCAAAAGCTTATTCCAAGCTGGTAGAGCAGAAATTCAGAAACCTTGATTTGGCTGAGAGCAGTAAGTCGGCTGGAACTCTAAGAAGAATCAGAAGTAGAACTTGGAAATTGAAAGTCATGGGAAAATTGAAACACTTCTTATGGAAAAGCTTCTCAGATGCATTGCCAGTCAAAGCAGCTTTAAGGAAAAGGGGAATGTTTGTGGATGGAATCTGTCAATCATGTGGAGAGGAGATCGAGACAAATGAGCACTTGTTCTTTCATTGTAGAAGAGCCAAGGAGGTATGGAATTTAGCTCCGATCCAATGGGAACTTCCTAAAGATCCTAACATCAAATTCAGATCATGGTGGGGTGATGTTTGCTCCATTAATAAATTGGAAGTCTCTGAACAGCGCATCGAGCTAACAACATACCTTCTATGGTGGTTATGGAAAGCTCGGAATCTCTGGGTATTTAAAAAAGAATGGATGCCAGCTCGAGTCATCATCAAGCTAGCCATGGGAAGTTGGCAAGAATATGCTAGAAGAAACTGCAAATAAATCAATGAAGGGGTGAAGTGTAGTCTAGGTCCAGCAGGTGCAGTGGGCTGCTTCATGAGTTTATTGATTTATTCTCAGATTTCACAATGCTGCTCAACTGTTATTCTGCAATTTTTCATGGTAGCTTATATTTCTCTTATTAGTTTTCTCAGCCTGTGTTTTGATGTATATATGTGGGCTTGGTTACTATTTTGCTACACCTAGGTTGATTGGGGTTGCTAAGGAATACTAAGGGTGACAGCATCTTTCTGGCCTTAGTATGTGCTTAGAAATCAGTATTTGATAGTGGTGTATTTTTGTGTTCATTTAGAGCACCTGCTTGTAGGTGACTCTCTCATTTGATTAGGGCCAGTCGGCTCCCGCTTGTATATTTGTACATTTGATGATATATAATATTCTGTCGTTTCGGAAATCACTAGTTTTAGTTGTCATTTGAAAATTTTTTCTAATGCATAAAAAATATAAGTTTTTGAATATTTTATTGTTTAAAGGTCGTTGGAAAAAAAATTGCACAAAACGAGTTGAGACTCGAGCATCGTTTCAATAAGCTCGTAAAGTCGATGAGCCGCTCGACTTTATATTTTTACAAAAATCCCTCATATAGTTTAATTATCAATATTAGAACACCAAGGACAAAATTTTCTTACTAAGTTAAAAAGAGCACGTTTATATTTATAAAATAATTTTCAAAAATTTGAGCCGATCTCGAGCCATGTCGAGAATTCTTAAAACGAGCACGTGTAATAAGAATTCTTAATAATTCTTAAATTTTTTTAAAAAGAGCATGTTTGTAACTGTTGCGTGAAAGACCTCCAACAGGATGGAAACGGCTAGATCTCGAGCTCCTCTCCGGTTGAACGCCATTAGACCCGCAGAACTCTCACATCGGAGGGTTTTTTCGGTGAAGAGCCTCCGATGCTTAAGTTAGCACTTGTAGAAGATGAAGTGCAGTATGTTCCGCGCCCACTTACTTATCTTTTGAAAATACTGGGATTTCAGAAATAATTTGAACTTTTTCAAAATAAAATATTTTTCTTGGCCAGTACTAAAAACTTTTCTTTTCAAGCTTTCTAACACTCCTTTCTTTCTTTCCTTTTCTTTTCTTTTCTTTTTTTAACCCAAGCCTCACACTTGGATCCTTAGAGAAAACACATCCCGACTTCTCACAGTCTTTCTCAAACAGTTTAAGACATGCAGAACATTCAAAATACTTAGTCTTAAACTGAAAGGCATGGTCTCGAAACGTAAACCCAATCTCGCTCACAATGCAAGATAATAAATCATAGTTTGTAAGAACTTTGCGGAAAAACATAACAATAAGCATAAAAGACCACCACTGCCCTCTCGTCCTAGTCCAGCTGCTCAACCTAAAAATGATAGTTGAGGGGGTGAGAAAATCAACTATCTCACCTTGAGCCTATACTATGCAGTTATTCAATATAATTAATACCACGATTTTAGCATGCAACACAAATAAACTAATCATAATGTCGTCTGACAGGAACTGCACATCTCAGGCACGGGTGATTACTCCGTCGTCTCATAGGCACTGCCAATCACTAGCATGGTTAATACTTCGTCGTCTCATAGGCAAAAACATTAAATAAGACATACAACAATTATAATAATCACAATAATTATAAGGAATAAAGCATGGCATAGACATCCCCACCTGATACTAGAATGCAGAAGTTGAGTGGATGCTTCAATGGAAACTCGATGGCTCGACTCCTCAAAATCTACATTTTAGAAGCATACTCGGAATGGTAAAATTAATTTACCAGCTTAACTTAGAAAAATTTCTTAAATTTGGAACTCTCGGCTAAAGGTATTTTAAAAACTGGGAAAAAAAATTTCGAAACTAAAAATTAAGGTCTAGGTCAAAAATTTGGTTCACGGCTCAAAACAAGTTCAAAAGTTCAAAAGGTGGCTCGAGGCTCGGTGCGGTTGGCTAGACGACTCAGGTCTGGTATTGTTGGCTCAGTGTGACTGGGCGCTAGCGCAGCCTGACCGCGTCTGGCACTGGTCGCGTGGGCGTGGATGCTGTAGGTCACCCAGGGAGCTCACCTACTCGACGCGACCCGGCGTTCCGCAGTGCTCCGGTTGGCTCCGCGCGCGCGTGCTCGCTTGCAGGACAAGTGCGGAGACTTGGGGTCGTATGCGCTGGCACGGGTGATTGTGCGCACACGCTGTGCTGCGGGTAGATGTCACGGATCTGCACTCACGGTCAAGCAAGAAGTTGCGCGCACGCTTGCGCTGCTGGATGCGGGGCAATGGGACGTGCGCACGCGCTTGCTCGAAGACGTGCTACGTGTCGCTGGGGTGCAGGACGCTGGGGGCTGGATGATGCGTGCTGCTTGGGAGCTGCGGGGACAGTCAGCCGCGCACGGGCATTGATAGGTGCGGCGCCGCGCGAGGCGTCTGGCACGCTGCTCGTGTGGCACGCCGCGCGTTGCACGCCTATGCGCGAGGTGCCTGCGAGCGTGCGCAGTCAGTGCCCGGCATCAACTGTGTGCTACTGTGGCCCGACATATGCGACGTCCAGTTTCGATGGGACTCCCGACATACACATGGAGACTTTGCGACCAGTTTTCAAACATATTTTTAAGGCTTAAAATGTAAGTTTTAAAAAAGAGGATTTTAGCTCAAAATCAAGGCTCCACATAACCATAAAAGAATCCAATTTTTTCAAGGCATTTTTCAAAGTATTTCAAAGCATTTTTTTAAAGGCATTTTTCAACATAATTTCAGAGGCTAAGGGTTTTTTAAATTTTCGAACAACAAGGCATCAACAAGAGTCCAATAACTTAGATTTTTCACATAATCCCTTGAATTTTCTCATAAATTCGAGGATATAAAACATAATGAACCTTAAGCAACTATTCTCCAAATTTCTTAAACAACTTAAAGAGGATTTCGAAACAAATACCTCTCTCCGGGAATCTACAAGCAAGGAAGAGAGGGTTTAGATCTTGTGGCTCGGCAACTCACGGACATGGTTGTCACAGCCTTGGCAATGGTTGCACACTCTCGGTCGGATCTCATGGGTACTAACATGCTCTCGGCGTCCACCAGCTGCTGCTTGTGGTCCTCCTAGGATGATCGTGCGTGGATCTCCTCCACCAGGTGCAGCGGCGTGCGGTAGGCGCGGCTGCGGGCTGCACACGTGCAGCTGCAGCACACAGATGGTTGTTGCAACCGCTCGTGGCGTTGCGGCTTCTGGGTCACTCGCGATTGCGGGACGCTGGTGAGAAGGAGGGGCTGTGGGCTTCTAGGCGCGACGATGGCTAAGGGTGGACGTCCACGGCTATTGCTACGGAACACCGGCGAGGATGGGGTGTTGTGCGGACAAGGGCTCCTCGCATGAGGCTGCGATACGACTCAGCGTGGCTCGCGTGCGTACAGGGGCTGGCCTCATGCGCTTGCTACAGTTCACCTCAGCGTCACGGTGGCGATTTCTCAGCAGGTGGGGCGAACGTTCGGGGCTGTTGAGGTGGGTTTTTGGGAGAGAATTTTGGTGTTAATTTGTTGTTGAAAAACATGTGGTGTAAGGTGGAAAAAAAATTACATTTTAAATCCAAGTATTGGAGAGTAAGATTGGGAGAAAAATAAGAGATTTATCTCGATTACTCTCCTTACCAAACTTCAAGATCCTTTGTTGATTCTTGGAGCAATAATAAGGCTGAAATTCGATCAACAAAAAGGAAGATTGGATCCAAATAGATCATACCAAAAATGGCTTCAAGGCTTTGAATTTAATGCAATTTTGAGCAAAAAAAAAAATGAGGAGTATATGGGGGACTTTTGGACTTAAGGGCCGAATTTTTCTTAAAATTTTTGGATCGAAAATATCCTTGGATTTGGTCCGAAAAACATTTGGTCTTTCTTGGTGAAAAACGGCTATAAAAAGGCTCTCGAAAATTGGTCTTAGTTCCACACAAAATTCTAACGATTTTTGGTTAGCAACGAAAATTACCAAAACATGAATAATTTAAGTAAACGAGGACATCTACCTATATTATTTAACTTAAAGGATTAAATAGATGAGGACATCTAATTAATCTCAAAGAACTTGTTAACTTATTCGAGTTTAAAAGAATAAAATGTAAAGCAATGCACTCGAAAAAAATTACAATAAACGAGATGTCTCTTATTAAATGAATGGTGCACTACAATCTACCCTCTTTAAAAGATTTCAGTCATCGAAAATGACAAAATACAAAAAAAAAGTACAAAGCACAACTCAAAACATAAAATTCGGATACTTCATCCGAATCTCAGTCTCTCTCTCCCAAGTCGCATTGCCCTCGCCATGGCGGTTCCACTGGACTTTGATAAGCGTCCCCTCCCGGTTCTTCAACTTGTGGACCTTTCTATCCAAAATGGCTATCGGTATCTCCTCATAAGGCAGGTTCTGCCCGTCATAAAGCTTGTCAAAGTTCACCATGCACCCGGGGTCATGCATATATCTTCTCAACATAGAGACATGGAACATATCGTGCACCTGAAAGCTCCGGTGGTAGAGCCAACCGATAGGCTAGGTCGCCAACTCAGTCCAGAATCTCGAAAAGACCAATGCAAAGAGGTTGCAACTTCTCTTTCTTCTCGAATTGAATCATACCCTTCACCGGTGTGACTTTCAAGATGACATTATCGTCAACCTCGAAATGTAGATCCTTCCTTCTCTGATCGGCGCAGGTCTTCTGCCGGCCCTGGGCTGCCTTGATACTCGCTCGGATCTCATCAACCTGCTCTAGGGTCTATTTAATAATCTCCAGTCCAAGAACCTTTCTCTCGTTGACCTCATCCCAATACAGAGGTGTCCTACACCTACGTCCGTACAAAGCCTCGTACGGTGACATCTGAATTGTCGTCTGATAACTATTGTTATAGGCAAACTTAACCTGTGGTAAGGCAGTCTCCTACGAAGCACCTCTATCAAGACACATGACCTCAACAGGTCTTCCAGTGTCTTGATCGTATGTTTCGACTGTCCATCTGTCTGAGGGTGATAGGATGTGCTAAACTTCAACCTCATTCCCATGGCATGCTACAAACTAGCCCAAAACCTTGAAGTGAACAGTGCGTCTCTGTCTTATACGATCGACACGGTCACTCCATGGAGTCGGACTATCTCTTCTATGTACATTTTGGCGTACTGCTCCATCTTCATAGTAATCCGCACTAGCAGAAAATGTGCGGTCTTGGTCAAACGATCCACTATAATCCAAATGGCATCGTTCCCCTTCTTCGATTTCGGCAGGCTCAGCATGAAATCTATAGTGATATGATCTCATTTCACTCGGGGACGTCAAGTGGACGAAGCAAACCAGATAGCCTTTGGTGCTCGGACTTCACCTGCTGGCACATTGGGCAGCGCTCCACAAACCTTGCTACATCCCGCTTTAAACCTCTCCACCAAAAATACCTCTTGTGGTCTTGGTACATCATCGTACTCCCAAGATGGGCGGAGTACGGGGCACTGTGTGCCTCCTCCAAGGGAGACCGCAGCAGCGCCGAGAGCTTTGGCTGAGCAACCAGCCTTGTCCGGCCATACACCACTGAGGAGAGGAGAGTTGAGTCTTTCTCCCTTGAGGCAGAGAACAGCTTAGCCATTTTTTCCCAACAACCGCAAGGAGCCGAGAGCCATTGCATTAGCCAAGCCAAGCCCCTCTCACATCTACCCGAGCCTCCTTTTCCCATTTTCTTTTACTACCTGAAGAAAGGTAGATGGCTGAACCCTGATATCATTATTTTGGTCGAGCTTTGTTGGCCCTTTTTATGCTTGAGTTTCAGTTTCAAAAGTGGAAATTCATGCCTTAGTTTTGGAATAAGGGAGTGATGTATGTTCAGATGTTTTTGCCTTACTTGGTTGATTTATTGAGGTTGTTGTATATGGCTAATTTTTTGTTGAAAAATATGTTGAAAATCACATATTTTGTTCAGCTAGAAGGCCTTGTTGTTGTGTTTGAAAATTTGTTAATTTTTTAGAATTGAGGTGCTTGAATATCCTGATATTTGTGCCTTGCTTGTTTGCCTTGATGGATGTTGTAAGCATGCTTTCTTTTGTGCTGAAAAATGTGATAAATTCAGGTTAATGTAGTGCTTAAGTTTCAACTTTAAAAGCATGCTAAGTATTGGTTAATATTGAAGAGAGAAAGAGATGCATATGTGTTATGTTTTGAAGCCTTGTTGTTTTTTTTCAGAGCATGTTACTGAGCTTTAAATTTTTGTGATTCATGCTGAAATTATGTGTTAGTTTCAGAGTATTATATTCAGCTTTGTTGCCTAAGGTATTGNTGTGGTCTTTTTATGTGTCCTTGAATTTGAGAAAATTGCCTTATGAAAAGAGAAGAATTGAGGACATTAGCCTTGGCTTAGGTGACTTTAAATTCTTTTTTGGCTCATTAGAACCTGGTATATTTAGTGTTTTAAGAAGTCTGGGAGTGGGGGGAAATGGTTAGGTTTGACCGACAAAAGTTGCCGAAAATTAAGGGTTGGCTGGGCAGCAGGGTCGCAAAACGCAGCACGTCCTAGTCATCTGCAGCATACGCCTCCATAGCCGCGCGCCCCTGCACCATGCCACGCTCAGTTCCCGCGCGCCCTCATCTCCGCGCCTGCGCACCCGTAAACATGCTCAGCGCCCATGCGCTGTATTCCGCAGAGTCCCAACAGCCTCGTGCCAGAGCGCTCGTGCACCAACAACGCCCAGTGCCCAGACCTAGTGATTTGTTGTGGCCAGCAACCTGTGATGTCTCGCCAGTACCCGTGCACGCCAGCACCCTGCCTCCCTCCAACACCCCAATGTCGCGACCTAGTTATTTCCCGTCCCAGCGGTGCAGCCAGTGAGCGCACCTAAGCCCGTACTCACAGCAGCCAGTGAGCGCGCCTAAGCCCGCACCCAGCGCAGCCAGTGAGCGCGCCTAATGCAGCGGACCCGAGTCGGGTAGCCGCAGCCAGGTCAACCCGAACGGGCCAAAGAGCCAAATTGGGTTTGACGGGCGCGAACCGGCCGGTCCAGTCCAGTCCAGTGAAGAAATAGAATTTCTGAGCCTTAGAAATTATCCGAGAACTCTAGACAAGACTATAAAAGTCAAGAAAAGTTAATAGAAAAATTATTTGCCTTATTTGCCTTTATCTATTTTATTTGCCTCTCTTATGTGTTTTAATTGCCTTATTTGCTTGGCTTCTCCATGCTTATCAAAACTCCTTAATATTAAGATAAAATAAATTAAATTGTAGATCAACAGGAGTCGAGTACTCACTCATAAGCAAGTGCATTTTCATCTATCATCAGTCGTTAAGGTGGGTGTCCCTAATTTACTACGCCTTACACTTTATAATTGCACGATTTTATAATATAAAGTATATATATGAACTGCTTGCTTAATCAAAGGCAACAGTTTGGAAAATGGATTTGAACTATTTGCCTGGGCGAAAGCATTGCCTAGGCGAATGCATCAGTTAGTGCTCATGTCGATGAGTTGGGGGCGACTCACGCATTCGACGGTAAAAATTTGTACACATGAGATATCCCTTCGTCGTCAAGTGGGGTGCGACCCATGTTCTAACGAACGAATTCAGATGAGATGATTATTATTATTCATGTTCATATCAGTATTATACTATATGTTATTATACTGAGTAACAACATAGTAATTCCCACGTGGAGCTAGTTATTTGCTCACCTCCATACATTATATTTTTCAGGTTGAGTACCTGGTAGCGAATACAAGGAGACAGTTGTGATCAAATATTTATGTTGAATACCTTAATTGCTTCAGCAATTATTTTCCAAATTGATGTTATTTCGGATTTATAAATACTGAGACTATGACTGTGTGTTTTGGAAAACTTTTAATGTTTGAAAGTTTTTATCATGCCTTGATTATTGATGAAGCTAAGGTAAAGGTTTGAATGTGATTTTTCATAAGAACTTAAGGAGCGACTTAAGTTAAGAAAAGCAAATTGAGAAAAGAAAATATTTTTTAGTAATGCCAGAGAAAAATATTTTTGAAAAATGCAAATTTTATATCCGAAAACTTAGCGTTTTCTATTGAACGGGTGTTACAATGGACATCAATGGTGCATTGCAATACTTTAACAGCGTATTTATATTTGTTCACGATAGCTAATCTGTTTGTTATTAACTAAACCGTAGAGGTAGACTTGCACCTCAAATCAGATTTGATAAAATATAGTGATAGAGAAGTGGGGTTGTGCCAGAACAACAGAGTACATGATCATATATAAAATGATCAAGAGAGAGAACTTACGCTTAGGGGCAGAGCCACCAAAGGCTAGAATGGGCTCAAGCCTAGTCTTAATTTTTTTGGTACATCTAAATATGTACTAGTAAAAATTATTATAGCTCATGTTATATTAGATTAGCTACATATCAAATGGTTTAAGTCTCTTTTCGCTTTGCCTTTCAGCTTATTATGTTGTTTCCCGTCTTCTTTTTATGTTTATATTATTATATTATTTAGTTGAATGAAATTATTTGAATAATTTTATTCGAGAA